ATCACTAATGATCCTTCTAAACACGATGATGTTGTCTGGCTATATCACTGATCTCTTTCCAAATCCTCTGAACTGTCTCAGATTGTCACTTAAACATTCTGAAATGTGCGTATTGGAAATCCTGCAGTACTGCATGCCGTTTCCAAATTTCTGGCTGAGTGAATTGAGTCATTGTGGGTTTTTTTTTTCTCACAGACGGTGACCAGCTGACCCTACTTTATCGTTCAGATGACAAAATCAAAAATAAATAACGTGCATAGATAAAACATTTGCTGTTTGAGAAGGTTAGATAGATAGACAGATATCCTTTGTTTGAGAATGAAAATATACAGATATATAGACAGACATTCGCTGTTTGAGATAGATAGATAGATAAATACTCGCCGTTTGAAAATGTCAGATAGATAGACAGACAGATAAACATTCGCTGTTTGAGAGTGAACATATATACTCGCTCTTTGAGAATGTAAGGTAGATAGATAGATAGATACATTTGATGTGTGAGAATAAAAATTGATAGATAATGTTTGAAAATATCAGAAATATAGAGAGACATTCGTTGTTTGTGAATGAAAATTGATAGATAGATAGATAGATAGATAGATAGATAGATAGATAGATACATACATACATACATGCATACATACATACATACTCGCTGTTTGATAATGTCAGATAGAGCGATAGGTAGATATTCGAGTATGACAGATAGATAGATAGATAGATAGATAGATAGATAGATAGATAGATAGATAAAAGACTGTCATAGATAGATAGATAGGTAGATAAATAGATAGATAGATAGATAGTGAACAGACTGTGATAGATAGATAGATAGATAGATAGATAGATAGATAGATAGAAGAGACTGTGATAGATAGATAGATAGATAGATGAAGAGACTGAGATAGATAGATAGATAGATAGATAGATAGATAGATAGATAGATAGATAGATAGAAGAGACTGTGATAGATAGATAGATAGATAGATAGATAGATAGATAAATAGATAGATAGATAGATGAAGGGACTGAGATAGATAGATAGATAGATAGATAGATAGATAGATAGATAGATAGATAGATAGATAGATAGTGAACAGACTGTCATAGATAGATAGATAGATAGATAGATAGATAGATAATGTTCATTTGGTCACCTATCTCTATATTTGTAGATACGATTCGAGTAATATTCAATTTGGTTCGTTCCTCTACTTCCACGCCTTTAATGTAATATAAATTGCTTTTATCCAAACGGTATGGAACATTTCTCTTAGAAACTCATGTTTGCTTTTTATATACAATTATAAATGAAATCTTCAAATTAAAATAATGTTTCTGGCAATGTTGGAAATGCACGTCAGATATGAAACACTTTCAAGAATATCTGGGCAAATAATTCACACTCTCCCTCCTCCTATTTTCCCCCAAATATTCACTTCTATTTGAAAGCAATCGGATACACAATTTGCGAATGAGTGTCTACGTTAAAATATCACAACGGACATGTCTCTCCCTATCTCAAAGCGTATGTCCGTCAGATGTTTATTATCATTTCTCGACTCGACCCTCTTTTTTTTCTCTCTATATGCATTATATTTCAGGTGGTGCAATTGATAGACGCTCGGGATGTGAAAGCGGAGAATCAAGTTCGAATTCTTGTTGAGCTTATCACATTCCCTTACGTGCAAATATCCTTGTAAACGATATCACTTCATCTTTTTTTCCTCCAGCTAGAGGATATACATGGCTGTAAGAGTTACCTCCTCTTTAGCTCATTAACTCTTCAACAGGGGTCTCTCTCCTGTGGCTATAAATACTCACTGACCCTTTGCCTCTTTTTCCCTCAGGTTTTAGGGCCGCCATCTTGAGGTAAACCTCTTTTTTTTTTTTCCTCAGGCTTCAGCCTTATGCAAACTGGCAGATATGAACGCTCACAGATACAGCGTTTCCAAAATGCTAGGAACACGCTAAGAACAATACACGTACGTACGAACACTCACCACAACACAACACACACACCTAATATACACCACACACGCTCTGTCCATGTAACTTATAGCCTTTCTTTTTATTAATACATATATATGTATACATATATTTATCGGTCATGTGTTTGTTTCTCTTTGTCTTCTTTGGACTTAATTAAAGTCCAACTTTCTCATGTAGTTGGATCGGTTAGCAGGAAAACTTAACCCACATTTTACATACTCATCACCACCGCCATGGTCCCCTAGAGGGCTATCCATAATGACTGGACACAAGAAATCTCAATACCTATATACTATTTATCTCTACATATTATTATGCATTTTATGTGGCTAGTTGCACTATACATTCGTAAATTTTTATCTGGAAGGGTTAAAATTCATCCCAAACGATATAATGTCGATTTATAAACAGGTAAATAAGATATGTTTACGATTTAACAATCTCTGTTGGAACATACTGGGTACCTCTAAAGTTTAGACACATATAAAGCCTCATTAACTATATTTCTTTTACCTCCACACATTAAACATTTATTTGTCAAAAGAAAAAAAGAACGTAGAAAGATGGAAATGTAATAATATTGACGGCAAAATTTTGCAAGGCAGGGCAAGATTTGCATCAGAAAGGATGGAAATAATATTGTAGAGGTGATTTTTAATATTTCAAGTCAATGAAATATTGTTAAAATAAACATTAATAAATAATAAACGGAATTCTCACACCCCCTTTCTCTGTCTGTCTGTCTGTCTGTCTGTCTGTCTCTCTCTCTCTCTCTCTCTCTCTCTATATATATATATATATATATATATATATATATATATAATATAATAATATTTTTGTTTAAAAATATGATTCCTTCGCTACATAAGAGTTCTCATGTTTCAAAAACGAGAGCCGAAACAATCCAAATAATTATTAAAATTAATTTGAATTGTGGTGTTTAGTCCCGTTTCATCTTCAAGCGAAGGAATCATATTTTTAAACAAAAAATATTATTATAATAACGCTCTACTTCTGTATGGAGCACTGTCTTCTTAAAAATAAAAACAAAAATACTAAGGAACCCCGGATTATGTACCCAACGTGTTCTTTTCTATTTTCTGCATACCTGCGCAGAGAGAGGGAGAAAGAGAGACCGAAAACGATATAAAAATTTGAAATAGATAGAAACATACGGTAATAAATAGGTAGATAGATATTAATGAACATGCTGCAATAGATAGATAGATAGATAGATAGATAGATAGATAGATAGATAGATATAAATGAACATGCTGCAATAGATAGATAGATAGATAGATAGATAGATAGATAGATAGATAGATAGATAGATATAAATGAACATGCTGCAATAGATAGATAGATAGATACGGAAATAAAAAGGTAGATAGATATTAATGAACATGCTGCAATAGATAGATAGATAGATAGATAGATAGATAGATAGATAGATATAAATGAACATGCTGCAATAGATAGATAGATAGATAGATAGATAGATAGATAGATAGATAGATAGATAGATAGATAGATAGATATAAATGAACATGCTGCAATAGATAGATAGATAGATACGGAAATAAAAAGGTAGATAGATATTAATGAACATGCTGCAATAGATAGATAGATAGATAGATACGCAAAAAAACAGGTAGATAGATATAAATGAACATGCTGCAATAGATAGATAGATAGATAGATAGATAGATAGATAGATAGATAGATATAAATGAACATGCTGCAATAGATGGATAGATAATACAAATATGCCGGGCATTATTTCTAAAGTTGATTTATTAGTTACATACTAACTAGAAACATTTTTCGTTTTATCCCTCCACTCTCATCGTATCTGACAATATGTTGCCCGGTGTCTATTTAATACTTCTCTCCACTATCGATGCATTTTACCAAATAAAAAAATAATCCCAAAACATTTCTCAATCTTAAACCGTCTATATTCTCTTAATGTCCCAGGCATTCTTCCACTTTTCACTGCATCAATATACGATTCTCTTAAGCAGTATTAAGTCACTAACAGAATTAGCGAATCAGAAAATAACTATCCGATACACGATTGTATGGGATTACCCACAATTCTCTCTTATGATTTCCACCTCCCCCCACTATGGCCAACTACAACGTCTATATAATCGAAGATAGCGATTGAATTATTGGCTTTTAATATATGTATATACAGAAACGTATTTATTTATATATATATATATATATATATATATATATATATATATATATATATAGTGTATTGCTAACGTAATAATAACAGATTACGTCAGGGATCTAGCCATAGAGAAATAGAACGAGACTAAAGTATTAAAGATTAGTATATTTGCAAGTTGTAAGATAGATAGATAGATAGATAGATAGATAGATAGATAGATATGAAAAAATCAGATAGATAGATAAATAGATAGGCTCAAATAGATATGAACAAGCATAGAGAAATAGAGATAGATAGATTGAGAGAGAGAGACAGAGACAGAGAAATATGAACAGGCATATATAGATAGATATAAACATAGATAGATAGATAGATAGAGAGAGAGAGAGAGAGAGAGAGGAGAGAGTAACAGATAGATAAGCAGACAGACGAGCAGAGAAACAGATAGATAGATAGATAGATAGATAGATAGATAGATAGATAGATAGATAGATCGGTAATAAATAAATTAAATAGATATGAACAGACTTATATATATAATATATATACATATGTACATATATATATATATATATATATATATATACAAAGAAATAATGACACATAGAATCAATCAGTAATATTAATGGTAATGGATGTCGCAAATAATGCGACATCCATCACTAGTAGTGTATAATGTATGCATTAAAATACTGTTAATCCATAGAGGGATGTGATCCTCATTTATAAAACTGTTGTCTGTTGTTTCCAGTTTATATTTTTTTAAAATGCAAGTACTTTCGAATAATCCTTTATTCATCGTCAGGCATATGTTTTCCTTAGAAAATCAAAAACTTGAAGACGAAATAATTGTTTGTCGACCGAAAGATGTTTTTTTTTTAATATCTGCTATTATTGACGGTTGTGTACAATCTCGGAACGTGCAAAGACGCAACGCAATGTTTTTCAAAATTTTAAGTGAGAATTTTATTTGAACTTTTCTTGTGATGTGGTAAATCAACGTATTCTATTTTACAAGTGTTTTCAGTTAATATGTCATGAACTAAGTATATAGTTCAATTAATATAGTGTTATGTCTTAGTAGTAGTTTTTTTTTATAAAAAAACTATCGATCCGCAGTACAAAAAAATTCCTATAAAAAACTACTATATATATATATATATATTCAGTTTCAGTTTGGAACAAAACATAGGTTTATATATATATATATATATATATATATATATATATATATATATATAGTATTCATCCGTTTATCTCGCAAAATGATGTTAGGGACGTGTTTGGTAAGAATTCAGTACTTTTTTAGATGCAAATCTGGAGTGATCATTCCAGGGAGCAGTACATTGTACACTGTTCAGACTAAATACATATATATATATATATATATATATATATATATATATATATATATATATATATATATATCAAATCCTTCTTAATTTCTATCATTTGTATATCCTTGCTTGAAATGGTTTCTAATGCTCTGGGTGGAACGGCTTGGGGTCAGTAGTCGTGGCACTCGGAGCGCAGTACTATGGACAAATGAAACTCGGATGAGTTCCACCACGGAATCTTTGATCGAGCGGCGCTGTATCGAGTCTAATTCGTTACCTCTTCGTCGCCTAGGCCCGTTGGTACACACTTGGTCCGGGGTTCAATTCTCGCTAGTCAATGCGCACTGGTGATGAGTCCCAAATATAATACGAATCGGCAGTCCTGTGCTTTCTGCATTCTTTTGAGTTTTCTTCTCGGCTCGATAAATTTCTTAATTATTAATATATATATATATATATATATATATATATATATATATATAAAGAAAGAACAGTAAGATTGAAGATGAAATGGAACTAATGCTTTTAATTTAATTTAATGCTTTTAATTAATTTTCTTCTATTTTTGAAACATGGTTGGAACTGTGTAGCGAAAAAACATATTTAAATCAATTAATTTATAATATATATATATATATATATATATATATATATATATATATATATATATATACACTAATATATTTCGATCGTAGCGACAACATCCAATGGAATACAGGACATTATTTTCGGACATCTCTGAATTTGTAAGTGTTGACAATGGAACACTGATTTTAAACCACTGCGTTCGGTTAATGTCCAAACGCGGAAAATCCAGGCAGAAAACCCAAGATAGACATTATTTTACAGCAAGGTTCACCATTTACAAGACCTGGGGTTACGTTTGTAGGCGATCTGTTTGTATAAGTGTGTAAGACAACGTTTTACCCCAGGCTTGTACAGGTGAATATTGCAGACATGCCCCCTTGGTTTTCGGTTCCACAGAGCAGTGCTACGCGGAAAGAAGCTGTTCGAGTGGAACTTCTTTTCGATGGAATACGGGGGGCAATGATGGGGGTTTGTTGCTATGTAAGAGGCATGGCGTGTACTTGTGAAAGTTTGCCTCTGCGAGACCAGGAAATGTAGTTCGTCTGAGTACTTTTCATGGAAGTAGCGTAAGAGCAGAAAAGGCTTGCCACATCCCCGCCTGTGGGAGAAACATCGAAGGGTAGAGAATAGTTCGTCACCGACAGGGGGTCTAAAACGATTTTGAACTCTATCAAAGTTAGAGAGTGCAGTCTGGGCTGCTCCCGCCCAAATATGACAACAGTACTCCATTTTTGCCTGAGCTAGTAGAGGATTGCATGAGGGGGTCAGGTACTCACTGAAGCGGGACAGAGAGACGATCCCTTTACCTGCATCCTTAGCAATGTATCGTATGTACGCGTTCCAATTAAGGTCAGTTGTCAGTCTGAGGTCCAAAACCCTTTCGAGGCACGGTGCTTCATCCAGAGGCCCTTAATTCATCCACATTGATGATAATTCGCGGTCAGATTGATTCCGATGTAATAGATAGATATAAACTGTGTAGCCATAGAAATAAATGTTTATATATATATATATATATATATATATATATATATATATATATATATATATACCCAAGTATATAATTGGTATATACGGAATGAATTCCAATAACCAACAATTACTATTCTTAAAAGAGTGCTCAATACAAATTAGAGCAGATATAATTATTATTTATAAAAAAATTAAAACTTAAGTATATTATAAAATCACTACAAAATTAGCCATTTTGTTTCAACACACTCGGTGTCTTATCAAGATGATGATGTTGAAGATAAAAAAAACAAAAAAAACATCTTCACATCATAACTTGATAAGACACTAAATGTGTTGGAACAAATAATTTTTGTAGTGATTTTATAACATACTTATGTTATAATTTTTTTAAATAATAATATATATATATATATATATATATATATATATATATATATATGTATATATATATATATTATAATTAATTAATATATATATATATATATATATATATATATATATATATATATATATATAATTCAACAAGTTTGCCTCCTATCGTAATTGTCCAGGTTTCAATTCTCGGTAGTGGATGCGCTCTGCTGATTTGTCCCAAATATAGGACGAAACGGCCGTCTAGTGCTTTCTGCATTCTGTTGAGGTTTCTTCTAGACTCGATGAATTACTTAATGATAATTATTTCAAATTCTCCACATTATTTCTCTCACTATATATATATATATATATATATATATATATATATATATATATTATGAAATGGATCGAGTCCGACAATTATTTTCAGACATTTTTATGTTCATACATTATTTTATAGATACAAATATTTAAGTAAATGCTCTGTTTTATAATAAACAGTATTAATAGCATTTACCGGCCTGAATGTCCGAGAAATTGTCATAGAAAATATGCGTCCTCCGACAGGAATCGAACCTGAATCCTATACGGAACCGTCATATAGCCTGACGTGCTTTTACCGATTTCGCCACAAAGGAGCGTTTCTATTAGCAAGGTCGATTTTTTAAACTTCAATTTTCCATGATTTTCTCACGTATATTTATATCTGCTCGATGCGTATCCATATGTAAACAGAGCATTTACTTAAATATTTGTATATATAAAAGAAATATATAATCATAAAAAATGTCTTATAATATTTGTTGAATGTCTCCATTTTATAATATATATATATATATATATATATATATATATATATATATATATATATATATATGTATGTGTGTGTGTGTGTGTATGTGTGTATGACTAAAGACGATGAACAAGTGATTACGATCAAGCTTATTTACTTTTTCTTATATTCGTACAAGTATTTTCTTTTTTGGATATATTGTGTGTTCTATAATTCCGAGCGCTTTCGGCTATACTTTTAGCCATTATCAAGGATGATTCAATTTTTTTTTCCAGTTTAATTGTATGTGTCGATTTTGTGTATGTTTTTAGTGTTATATACCCTAAATGACCCAAACAAAAAAAATATCAAATTAATTATCTATTATAGTAAAATAAGACAGATCACCCTATCCTAAAAAATAACAATACATCAGCTAAATCAAAGTTACAATGTACATTATCTCTGAATTGAAATTCCTCTTAAGGAACTGTGTTTCTGATCAAACCGAATTCATAAATAATTACATCGGTCACACAACTACACGCCTATCCTGATGCCTTACGTTACACCTATCTGACCAGAGTTCTATTAGAACCGATTTAAATACACACACAAATTTACCAGACTCCATCCGAAAAAATTCTGCTAGAAAATACAAACATAATAAAGTCATCCACGTGTAAAAGAAAATATTAAAAACTAATGGAAGACCTTATAATAAAAAAGAAAATGCTAACACTAAATAATATTAACTAAAAACACGGCCACAATATCCTAACTGGGCTCAAAAAATAAAACATCTCTATAACACTATGGAATTGTAAAATGATGAGACCTAACTGACAATCTTGAACTAGACTTCATGAATTTAAGCGCAATACTAGACTGGCGGAGAGGTCTCCTCAATTTAAAATTGTGCAAGCTAGATGTAGCCGTAACATCTCTGCTAAAAGTTTCTTTCCTCAGAGCTCTCGTTTGTGGAATTCCTTTTCGTCTCTATGCTTTACAGCCAGCATTAATCTGCAAAAATTTAAATGCAATGTCAACAGCTATCTACTGTGGCCGCATAGAGACATATGTGGCAACAGTTTTCTAAGCACGGACGGATTTTAGATTTATGGATAGGCGACATAGATTCTGGAGAGAAACATTAATCAGCATGGCACTGTGAATCATTTTTCTTAGAGACATAACTAGAAACTAAGGCAGTACGATCGAAAGATGCCTGTCCATTCGATGAACTAAGATGACACTGATGGAGATTTATAGCTAAGTTTTCTACCCATATTTTTTACGATTAATTACTGCCCTTATTTTATTAATGTGTCCCCCTGTAGTTGACTCCTAGGGTTGTCTGTGGGATCTTACGTAGCTTTTAAGGCTGCTTAATGACTTGTACAATTTACGACCTAACATGCACGGTTTCACTTGTTTCTAATGAATATGTTTTCGACCAGATTGTTGTTACCATGCACTCTCACATGTCGCTTAAGTCTCCTTAAAGACAGGCCGGTGACATAGCAAATTTGGCAACTATGTGAAAATTATTATTATTATTATTATTATTATTATTATTTTGTGTGAGGTGTTGCATTAGACGGGCATACTATGTAGCATATATGGTATAGAATAAATATGATATGAATATAACAACTTTGAATCATATATATATATATGTATATATATATATATATATATATGATTCAAAGTTGTTATATTCATATCATATTTATTCTATATATATATATATATATATATATATATATATAGGTAGATTGATGGGAGATTTTGACC